CGCTTTCTTGTCCGTGTCTGGGACGCATAACCTCGATAGTGACGTCATGGTGCACGCGGCAGCTTTTGTCTGGCCGTGGTGCTGGAACGGAGACGAGTCCCAAAATAGGGCACTCCGGGGTCATCGTTTGTCACTGGACACTGCAGGACGTGGCGTGACGCCATGACATAAGATGACACCGAAGTCACTTGAAACAATGACATGACCTGACACTACTACGTCACGTGAAACCGTGACGTCATATGACATTGTGAGGTGACTGAGAACCTATAAATGCTGCAAATTCGGAGCGCTTTATTTTTATCTTTTTTTACTTTTATTTTTTTACAGTTGTGTCGCAATTCAGAAGTTCCAGAGCACTCAAACTGCAAAAAGCGCGCTCGAAAATGGCAGTGGTCCCACTAATACCTCCGTCAGACCTAAAATGCCATTTACGCCGAACGACATTCAGTATAAATGTCATATAGTCAGCGCCACAGGGCCACTCAAACGGCATAGTGGTATTTATTTAGCCTTATATGCCATTTGGGTTGTCACGCGGTCCTGGCTAAACAACCTCTATACTGAATTTCATTTGGCATAAGTGGCATTTGGAGTGCCCGTCTGGCAGGTATTATTGAGGAACATTACTTTAGCACAATATTTCTACAACTAGCTGCTCTTCGCGCAAGCTTTAAAACCAACGAACCGCGACGCGTTTTCTTTTTCAATTTAGGGAAACATTTTTCTGTTTAAGTGCATTCCTGTTCGTCCCTCCTTGTGCAAAATGGATGCCTCTGTCTATTTTAAATCACATATCTGCAGATATCACTAGGATTAAAAACAGCGCATTCTCTTCAAGGGCATTAGTGGAAACGTGTTAGCCAACAAAAGAGTGAAAAAAATATTGGTAAAGTTAGATCGTAAGGTAAACGATAAGTAAGACTATCCCATAAAAAACATATTTCCGTTTTCTTTTGTTACATTAGGCACTTTTAGCAAACGGTTACCATGTTCCGCGTAGCGCGGAGCCTTTGAAGTACGCTTTTAAACGCGCGCACCGCGGTCATGGTAACCTTAAAAGCACGCTTCAAAGCTAGGCTACGCGGAACACGGTAACCGTTTGCTAAAAATGTCTATTAACAAAAAAAAAAAAAAAAAAAGAAAAAAAAAACGCGTTACCGCTTTTTTTTTGTTTGTTTTGTTTTGTTTAAGTTGGCACGATATTACGCAAAAGAACACCCTAGAAGAAGGCTAATGAATGTGTGGTCTCGATTTTGTTGCACCGTAGAACAAATTGTCCAACTTTGGACGCGTAGATGCCTGTGCCGCGTTCCGTATTATTCTTGAGGTAAAGTTTACATGCCTTGTGATGTTTTCAAAAACGAAAACATTATTTCGAGCGCAATGCGCGAACATATATAAATAAAACAGCCTTCAATGCGTTTGGGAATGTATATTTTAATTCATAATTCATATTTTAACTCATATATGTACAGCTTAGAAAGGGCTGTTTACAGCAGTAAAACATTTGCTAAAAAGAAGTTTGTTTTCTCGCCTATCAAGTGAAGTTACCAAGTATGCTGCACGCGGGCTTCGGCGTAGCATAGAGCCAGCATATATCTGAGTTGCTAAAAACTTTGAAAATTAGACGTCCCGTTTTGGCGGGGACCGTATCATTTTATTGGTTCATTTCTGGAGTTCCGTCATGTTGTCTCAATGAAGGCTAATGTCCGGTGTTTTCTTTCAGGAACATGCATAGTTGCGAAATCAATACTAGCTATAGAGTAGCAGGAAACCGAAAGAATTTTTTTTTTGTTACATTAGTAATTTTATAAGAACATATTTATACTATAAAAATGGTACCTCCAATACACTGCAGTTCGTAGCTTTTCGTGTAATTACGCGTGCCATTTTTTTTATCTAGACGTGTGCATTAAAGAAATCCTTCCATTTGCAATTTTCTCTCATTTTTTTTTTAACTGTGGAAGAAATTAACTTGTTTCTCGACCAACAACGCCGAAAATGTTTCCTTTTATTTTGGACTGAACAGTAGCAGAGCTCCTCTATCTGCCTCACATCTCCTGCATTCAACTCCCATCTCATGGCCCAATGTCCCATTTTCTTCTTTGAGGAATGTGGCCACCGTATATTCCGCCAGCTAAACTACCGGAATACACCGAGAGACAGCTCACCTAAAATCGAAAGCAAATCGGGTAAAAATAAGAAGTGAGCTAACTTGCATTGGTGCGATCAAAAGAAGTTGAAAAAAAGGCTAGTTCCAGATATTGTTACTTGCGAAACTTGTAATGGTAGGGAAGAGCGATAAACCAAAGACGGCTGTCTTTCTCAGTCAGCAATGTTCGCTTATCTACCGCCGTGGCTAAGTAACACCATATCTGCCGAGGTGGCCAGGGCCCTGCAATTACTAGAATTAGGCTATCTTTTGATGATTAAAAAAAAACAAAAAAAAAAAACATGAATAGTTCCAAAAATAGAAGGCGGCTGATTCTTCCGGGGTGCGGCATCACTTGAAATATTACTGTAATCACTAAACAAAAGAAAAAAAAAAAGCGCGTGATCTAGGGGCATTCACCGTGCGTGATTGCTCTATAGTCGGTGACGGCAAAGGCACAAAGGCAATGATTGACGTGACAATGGGCTTTTGGCGCCACTTGATTGGCTCCGTAGGAGATAGTAGCGTCGGCTGCATGCGGTCGTATACTCGAAGTGAGACGGAGCCCTCAGGGCAAGATGTTCCCTTGGGTGCAGCTCCGCAGCGCAGTGCAAGGCCGCAGCCTGGTGCAGCAGGCCGCTTGCTGCGTGGCCGTGGCCGAGCGTGCCCTGGGCTTCCGCCAGCTGACCGGGGACGACGCCGACAAGCTGCTCGTGACGCCCACGGACTCCGCGCACCTCGAGTACCGCTTCCCGGGCAGGCAGAGCCTGTCCGTCGAAACTGCGGGACTCAAGGCGCACATCGCCGGATCGCTCTCATTCGCCGTCTCCTCGGGTTAGTTGTGTACATAGGACGCGCATTTTCTGGTCTGTATGTTTATACTGGAAATCGGAGGATTTCTTTGTTTTGTTTATTTACTGTTCAAATATCGTTGGTGTATTGGTGATGTCTTTCGGACGGACGCTAAAAACAATGGTTATCGATGAAAAAAAAAAAAAACATTTAATGAAAAACTAAAGTTCAAGTCGAAAGGGGGAGGCTTTTCACCAAAAAGTAGTCCTAGCTTGAGCTAAAATTTCGAGAAATCGGTGTTTATCGGTTTTTGCCGATTTTGTAGTTTTGATACTGACGGGTGTTTTTCGATGTTCATTTATTTTTTTTTTTAAACATCGGTATATTTGGGTTATCTGTCTAGGACGGACGCTAAAACGATTATTATCGGTGAAAAAAAGAATCTAATGACAAACTAGTAATTTAGTTCAAGTCTAAAAAGGAGGGCTTTGACAAAAGAGTCCTAGACAGAATGAAAATTCCCATAAATTTATGTTATTCCTTTTCAGATTAACCCAATTTTGCATTTTGGACACCGACGGATGTTTATCGATATTTTTCGGTCGGAACCGGAAAATCCCTGTACAAAGACATCTCTCTCCTGCTCCTTGAAGAGCGTGCGAGAGAGCTTGGCAAAAAATGCGGTCGAAAAAGTCGTGGTTGCAAGTGACAGCGAACATGTCTGCGTGATTGGATAACCGCAACTGAGTTTTTTTTCTTCCTTTATAATTGTGACGGATGTGTTTGTTAGTGCTTTGTACGGTTGGTTCGCGGAGAGCATGATGTCTCCTATCAGGAAGGTCTGAAAGGCGGATGGAGGTAACCTCTTGCCCCAAAAAATCTATCTAAAAATATTTTTCACTTAAACAAAAAAATGTCGTTTTTATTGATGAACGAACACTGTTGCCTTGTACAACGTAAAATATTGTCCTCTCTAGGAGTATAAATAGTTTCAAACAAAACACTGATTACTGGAAAACAGGTGTACTTCACTGCCAACCCCATTCTAACCCTGAAGCATGCACTGTAATCGTTGAGCATGGAGATCGACAGTACAGACACGAATTCTGCCCCTCCCCCCACCCTATAGTGTTTTACTTTACCTAACCAGCTCGCTTGCATACTCGCTTCGGCCGACACTAATGCATGTCGCTAGGGCAAACTTGGGCACTAAGCGGACCCGCGTCCGCAAAGTGGTTGCGAACGCGGTTGTATAAAGATACAATACAATAGACTGATCTCACCAGCCAGTTTGACTACGCCACCGCTGCCGCTATGCATCGAGGGAACTTTATTCTTTTTCCACGTGCGACAACCTCGCTAAGGCTATGCGCGTGTAGAGCACGAGAAGGCACGACCCATCGCATGCACGGCCGTCTGCCTACTGTAAACTAAAGTTATGACGGCGTCACGCATGCGCCAAACGCTCAGTGAGATCGGTCTATTGCACGCGCACTTGATGTCATCGAGTGCGCGTGCAATTGCACTTGATCTCTATACAACCGCGTTCGCAACCGCTTTACGAACGCGGATCCGCTTCCAGTGTGAATGAGCGGTAAGGGCTACGCCTCTCATGGTTCCCCACAAATCACGACAGCGATGAATCACTAATAGGCGCATTTTAATAAATCATAAAAACGCAGCGGTCAGCAGGGCCACTGTGGGGTCCTGGCTTTGCCCTTTTCACTTTGTGACTGTTTGGTGTGATGCAATACGTTTTCTCTGCCGACACTCGTGGAAAGGGAGATGTGAAGCATGAACTTCTCAGAGATTCCGCACATGTCCTTTGGTGACAATAATTCTACTAAAGGAAGTGAGAAGTAGAAGGAAGACGTAGGGTGCGCTCAAACAGGTCGGCGCTTACTCCAAAAAGTGAGCCTTGAGACTGCGCTTAGAAACTGTCACTTTTTCTTTGTACTTTTCTTCTACGCAACCACCTTTTGACTACGGGCTGATGCATGCAAAAGAAACTTCCACACCCTACAGTGCTGTTCTTCGCGTTTTCATCCGGCAGAGAATGACGTGACTACAGTCGACGACTCACTCTTCGATGAGAGACTACCATCACAATATACGTAAGTTTCGAATCGGCACTGCGCTTCAGACCCAACATACAAAAGCGACGCAAATAAAGGCTGGCACGTTACCCTAGCAAGCATTTATCTGCCTTGACCCTAAAGCAAAAACAAAAGAAAAACAACCACCGATGTACCGTAAACTACAGGGTGTCACAAAAGAAAAAAAAAACACACAAAAGACACGGTTTTTATTACCGCAAAAATAAACTAGGCATCGCGGAACGTTCATTCTCCGCCCAAACGTAGCGCTAGTGGTAACAACCAGCTGCCAAAGTTTCAGCCCTATCCGATACCTTAATCAAAAGTTATGTGATTTTCTGAAAATTTCAATGGGAAAATGGTGGCCGACGGAGTTTTCGAATACATGGGGCTCTATGGGCACCAGAAACCGAAAGCGGGCAAAAATGGGCTCCATTTTCCCACTGAAATTTTCAGAAAATAACTTATAACTTTTGAATGAGGTATCAGATCGGGCTGACACTTTGGCATCTGGTTGTGACCTCTAGCGCTACCTTCGGGCAGAGGATGGGCGTTCGGCGATGCCTAGTTTATTTTTGCGGTAATAAAAACCGTGTATTTTTTTTTTTTTTGCTGACACCCTGTATTATTGTCTATATTTATGGTAAGACAAATTATTTTGTAGCATCAAGAATTGCTTAAAGGGGCGATGCAACAATTTTGTACTTTGCGGAAATACCGCTTAGAACGGATCCCTGGCGTTGACGGCCTGTGAAACACCGGTTCGTTTTTCACCAATCGCAACCAGAAGCCGCAGAAAAACTTAAATAGGAACGAGCAGCGTTCACCCCCTCACATCGCAGCCAGAACGAGAGGTCACGTGATCTGGAGCCAATTTTATACCGCCAATGTTGATCATAGCCACGCGCTGGGATTGGCATGGCACAGGACACGCGTTGAGTTCCAGATATTGTTATGGTTCGGCTGTTGTCTTCATTGCAGTGATCGGACACGGGCCACTACCCGAATGCTTCTTGAGCAATCGGTTATCACCAGCCAAAATCGAGTGCCTACGCAGTGCTCGGGTCCAATCTATGAGCCGCATTCAAATTTCGTCACTGGGCGGTACCGCTACCGCCCAGCCACGTCATCAAGCTTTTGTGAAGGAGAGATTGAATGAAAATGCTCGCTTTTGTCCTTGAAATTGCACCGCAACAAAGGAGTTTTTTGCCTAGTGGCGTTGCGTGCGAGTATCCTTGAGTCCCACTAGTGCCAATAAGCTCGTGCAAAGTGAAAAACATTCCAATTGAATATCGTTGCACCACCCCTTTAAGACAGGTGTCAATCAGATTTACTTAAGGTTGCTCCACATAGCACCGTACCCTTACGTTGCGTTATGTTACGAAAGCTTACGTCGGCTTAGGTCGAAAGTCACTGATGTTCAGCTATATTATACGTAACCAGACTTGTGCTCGTTACTTGAAGAATGTAAAGGATTACAATTACAAATTACAGAGCCTCAAATGTAATGGATTACCGTTACAAATTACTTTCGTTGAAAGGTAGCGGATTACTTTACTCGTTACGTTGAAAATTAATTTCACGTTACTTTTTTTTCGTACACTAATCCAGAAAACAATAGAAACAATTCTGATATTTTTCCAAAATGTTCTGCAACACTACTTTTCATTTCTCATACTGCCGTATTCTGGTAGTCCTTTTAAAAATAAAAATATTGTATTTGAGAGAGAGAGAGAGAGCGTAGGTGCACTGCGTTCACCATGTAAGCTGACAAGGCACCGAAAGCTGCAACCACACCCGCCATCGCGCTAGCTTACAGACTCCGGAAATGATCCCTGGACATATGCAGACAAAGCTAGCGGTGCGCATGCTCAGTAGCAGCGTCTACCTCCGCTACGACATTCGGAGCTAAAGAAGCGATCTACGAAAGCTCCTCTTTTGACTCGGGTATTTCGCCTGTTATTCACAAGAAAAGAAAAACTTGGTTATAACGTTACAATGTATAGCTAGTGCAGAATGCAGGTGTCCCAGCTTACCTTGATGTGTTTCCGTAGATTAGAGTTCGTTCTTCTTGCTGATGACAATGTGTATTTTTTTGGCAAGCAAAGTATGCGCCGAAACTCTCCTTAAAGGGCATCTTCGCCGTAATTTTTATAGTCACCGATTACTATAAAATTTTCACCGTGCATTTGGATTCCCTTCCTGAGCATGTGTACGAAATATCTCAGAAAAATATTAATTTTTTTAGAAGAAAATGAATTTTGAAATTTACACGTCCACACCCAAATCACTTGCTGCCGCCCTACTGGCAACACTGAGGAAGAGCGGCACACGGAGGCTGCCATGATGGCACTGACGTTACCGTGACGTCACATGTTGGTCAGGGTGCTTGCTTTGGAGCTTGTTGGTGCTAGTACTGTCTGGTTTTTGCTTATTTTATCGGTTTATACAGCACACGCGAGCGCGCTGATGAAATGCACGTTCACGAAGCCGAAGCTACCTGCGCGAATGATGTCTCAAACGACGCTTTTACAGCGCGAGAATGGAAATTGAGGTTACGAGGCCCTAACGATCTTCCGTCCCCGCGCTCGTGCCTTCTGTCCATAGGGAGTTTTAGCAGATAGTTATCAGAGGCCCGCGACCCCTCCGGGCGCGCGCTAGAGCACGCTTGGAAGTGGCGGCGCGAAAACGTCGCCACTTCCAAGGCGTCGCTTGAAAACACGGTCTACTAAAACCGTAGTAGCCTGGACCTCCAGGTAGCGGTCGTCCAGTAGGCCCGGCGTCTACTGCGCAGGCAGGTCCGACCTCGGGCCCCCTGCGCTGGGGCGTCGGATGGTGTGGGCCGCACCGGCTAGGCTTGACCTAGCTCTGCAGGCAAATAAAGACGTTTATTCCTCCTCCTCCATCTATTGTCAGACAACAAGATATAACAAAAAGTGCCTCCTATTAAAAGGCATAACGTCGATCAGTTTTTCTTGGCGTGCCAGCAACAAAAACTGCCTTACCATTCCGCTTCGGAAGCGGCATCTGGTTCCACATGGCGGCGGATCACGAATGCAGCCGCCGCTGGCGCTTCCCTCGGAGGCGATGCCGGCGGATCGTATGAAAACGGGTTATCGTCATCGTCCTCAAAATCTAGCCGCATATCCTCATCGTTGCTCGATTCAGACGAGTTTGATGAGTCCATTTTCATCGGCGGCACGAACGCAAAACAGTGACCTGCTGCCAGGCTGGCCAGGCTCAAACTGCACACGTGCGAGTGTTTATACCATATGTGACGTCACATCAAAATGGCGGACCAGTCGAGTGGCAAGTTAGTTTCGGTTTCGGTTTCAGCGTATTTTAACGATTATAAATTATGTAAAGAGTTTTTTAATGATTTAACCGCTGCTATAGGCTAAATTTTTAGTACCCTTTCCGAAAATATGTTTCGATAAAAACGCTCAAATTGACGGCGGAGCTGCCCTTTAATGCCCTGAATTTTGAGCATCTCATCAAGAGATGGCCATGGAGACGCCGGACATTCCATGACGGAAAACTCAACCAGTCAAAGAAAAAGTGGCATTTACGGGTTATTGACCGTTCATCGCTTCTCACTTTCATACCAAGATTCATGGAGGCCAGGGGAGGCGAGAACATAGAGCGCGAGAGAAGCGGTGGCCATCGGTCTCACAAAACAATAGAGGATCACACCACTTTAACGCGTTCTCTCTCTCTCTCTCTCTCAGCACTTCTTAGATGGCCTAACCCCCCCTTTCCCTTTTATGTTGACAGTTGACTGTAGAGTGAGGAGTGGACTCGACCACCATACCATAGACAAGTAAACTAAAATAACTATCGTCCTTACCCTCAAAGACGATGCTCTTAGCCTCGCGCCGGGCGCTTTTCAGCCGTGCGTCAAGAGCGTGCTAGAATAAAGTAGCGCGCATCAAAAACAAAGAGAATTCGACCCCCTCGCTCGAGGCTGCATCGTCTGTAAAGGGGTATTCACACGAGGGAGGAATCCCGGGGATTTCTCCCCGGCACGCGCATCCTACGACGAAAACGTCAGGCTTTGCGATGTGCAAAAGCCTCGCGTTTTCATCTCGTGATGCGCGCGTGCCGGGGAGAAATCCCCGGGATTTCTCCCTCGTGTGAATACCCCTTTACGCGAGTTGTGACTTTATGAACCCGCGAATCGAGGGGGTACGGACCGGCGTTTGATGTCTGTGCAGATGGCGGAAGACGTTGAAGAAGTTGGAAAGGGTGAAATGGTGTAAAAGACAAAAAGAAATAAACACAAAGAAATAAACTTGCCCCAAAGAAAAACAAAACAAAAAACAATGGAAAGCGATGGAGAGCCTACTCGGCGTTGTCGTCTTTCGTATATTTGTACATTGCCCGTTTTTCTAGTGGTTGTAGTGACCGGTCACACAAAAGTTAATGTGTTCTTTTCGGCAATTTTTTTTCTTTTCTGATGTTTCTATTTTGTTGTTGTTTGTCTCTTCATGCTGTGAATGTTCTGCTCTTATGCTTCAGTTACTGTATTATGCTGATATTTTTAAAAAGTAAAGAGTAATTAAAGTAATCCGTTACGAATATTTTGTAATGACATTACGTTAGAAATTGCTTCCGAAAAAAAGTAACGTGGCAATTAAAAAATTACGTGAAAAAAAAAACCGCATCTCCACGTGGCGAATGATATTGATTGGGGCGAAGTTCTGGTGGTGCATGTCTGCGTAGACGCTAAGCCGCCCATGCCGAGCCTTTCGTTCGTTTTCATCCATGTCACGCTGCGGTCAAATGCTCAAATGCGTATGTAACCACGTTCCATTCCACACATTCTCTTTCTGACATGGATGAAAACGAACGAAAGGCTGGGCATGCTGCGACAAGCACCACCAGAGCTTCGCCCCAATCAACATCATTCACCACGTGGAGATGCGGTTGTTTTTTCTTGCTTTTTCTTTTTGCCCGACACGAGCACGGGAGCACGTGCTCACGTGCTCGTGACCCGACGGCCGACGGACATGCGGACATGGCTAGCCCCTAAGGAGCTTCGCCCCTAAAAGTGGAGGATTACTTTCCAAGTCTGTACGTAACATAAGAAAACAGCAGGAAACGATCCTGTGTGATTACTTTATTGCGTAACGAGCCAGTGTTACAGCCGAGCGTGGTGGTTGGGTGTTAGAGGTTTTCACGGAAAACTAGCATGTGAACACATCCTGTAATAATAATGTTCCACTGTCATATGACCTTGCGCAGCACCAGATCGCCAATGTTCAGCACGAACGTGAAGTGGCTCATCGCTGTTTTAGACTGCGTGATGCTCAAGCTTCGGTCCGAGGTGCCTGAAACTAGAGCCTCTGCCGAAAAGGCCGTATTCGACGAGCTACAGTCCTGGCAGAACCAGCTTCAGCGGTGCAGCTCCGTTGACGAGTTCATCATCATATCACGACTGATGTGAATAGGCGATGCTTTCATATATTCTATTCTACAGAGTAAATAAACAATTTCGTTGCTATTTCTGTTGTTTTCTCTCTGGCATGGTTTTGAAGGCGCCCTTCCTCATCATTTTTTTCTTAAGTCGCGACATTCTTTTTCTTTTTAGATATTGCCAACTTTCTGGGACATTCCGCGGAATAAAAAAAAAATGTTTGGAAGGAAATTTCAAAATTTTAATTGATTTGCGATCTATTATATTCACGCAATTACAGTCCTGATAACATCGCGATATTTTGTCAAGAAAATCAGAAATTGAGAGTCGTGCAATAAAAAAAATACGCGTCCAAAAGTTTAAATACTGCTCATTGGTGTCTTATGACTGTCATCTACAATATTTCTGGGGAACATTGGGATGTTTGTTGTTCAGATGAAATTATTATTTTAATGCATGCGCCGAGGTGTTGATGACCATAGAAGTTGGGGATGAAAGGAAAATATGCATTCGGGTATACTAAAACTAGATTCCAAATCAGCCACGATTTTTTTCTCAAAGTGAATAAAGTCACCCCCATTTGAAATTTGTTGACGGCCTTCACGCAGCATGAGGTAGCACGTGCTAGCTTTGAGCCTTTCTACTTCGTCTCATTTTAGCATGGACTAATTGGGGTGTGTGTATGTTTATACAGCTCAGAACCTAGTTTGCCTCAACGAGCGACTTGTCTCCCAACTGTTGATGAGAAATTTAGCCACTGCAGTACAACCGCTATCCTGGGGTCTTTAACGAGCACCATGCAGTATTGATGCACGACCGCACGCCGGTACGATGCCCATCCAGATCGAAATGGGCAGGTGTTGGGATTGAACCCAGGATTCCTATACTCTGTTTCCTACTTAGCGTGCAACGCTGTCAAAGCTACTGGCGCGAGCGCGTGGCTTCATCTATGGTTTTGTTTGCGCGAGAACACGTGGAAATGGTCAACGAGGTGAAGCCCCACGCTCGCGCCTGTAGCTTTGTCCGAGTTGCACGCTAAGTATGAAACGGAGTATAGGTTCTGCAGAATGGACTAACTGCAAAGGCTGCGCAAGCCCGAGTGGGTAGCCTTGACTGCCTTGAGTGTAGTGCTCGCTGCACGAGCGCTCAAGCAGCCAACGAGGCTATTAGCGGCGAGATGTTTTGGTGACGCCCTCCTATGGCTTCCCCTTGTGACGTCATTACCTTACAAACAACAAGTTCGACGGTGTTTATAATTAGCATGGTGGAATCTTCAAATCATTGCGCTCTCAAAGCAACACTGCCAACACCGTCAAAATTAAAGTTCTTTCATTCCTCTTATTTTGTCAATGATATAAATCCCCTTTCCGACGTCATAGTCGGCATTCGACCAATCGTGGAAGGCCGACCACAGCGACGCTTTCGGTCGCGCACGTCGCCAATATCTAAAGGAAATAGCTCGCGCTTTTAGCATGCGTAACTACAATATTCCCGGGCACGGTAGAAAGAATACATTTAGGTGATGACTCTCTGCCGACGCGGCGGCCACATTATGTTCGGCGCACCGAGCGCGTTTCACTCGCACTGGGATAAATGGCGCCCAAGTATCGGGTCCTTCGCAAACTGACCGCTCCAATTGTTTCTCCCAGCGGTGCTCCCGCCATTCACTCAATCATCGCTTCTTGTTGTACCTCACCGCTGCCACGCTGTCACCAAGTCGCCAGAGTTTCTAAATTTGTGTTCTCTTCCTTCTTCTTCGGGTTAAGGCTCTCCCTCGTACACGATTGTGACACCTGTGATCAACACAGCACCAAAGCAAAACACGAGGCCAGTCACTGGCCGCACACCACCTCCACACCAACACGCCGCGAAAAAGGCGAGCACGCTACGCCGCCGACACCGTGGCCGACGAGGCGGGACCTCATACCGCAGCGCCCACCGAGGAGGCGCGGAACTAACCTCCTGGGTCGAGGCTAGCAGAGAACACGATCTGTTCGCTCGCTCCCCGCGGGAAGAGCGGCGGCCATTGGCATCACCTAAATCTGTTTCTTCACCGTGTTCCCGAGAAACACTTGGCGAAAAAAACAAACACTGTTCAGCACAGAATAACGTTATAGCGTCAACCTTTACTATACTTCGTTTCAGCTCAAGTCCAGACGCAGCCGATGCTACAAGCGAGAGCTCCGGGCTTTCAGCGCCCTAGCCAGCGCCCCTGCCGAGCACGCGCACTCGTGCAGTGCAAGCACTGCTCAGGGCCACATGCTCGAGCTTGTAGCATCGGCTGTGTTTGGACTTAAAGGGGCCATGAAACAAATTTTGGGTTGGGATGAATGATTTTAAATTGGGACTGCACTAATCGCATATCGTTTAGTTGGCCCAAAGAAAGAGGCTAGAAAGTCAAAAGCCAGCTTTTCGGTGCGAACATTTAAAAATATAGCGGACTATTTTGTACCTTCTTGCCTTCAAAAGCTCTCCGCCTTTTCATTATGATACATCCGCCGTTCCAAAAGCGCGTCACCGGCGCTAAACGGACGTCAGCAGAGCCCAGCTCAGGCATTGGACACGAGAACTGCGTCACTCAGACGTATGCGCGCGTCAACAATCAATCCGTCGACGAATATTTGGATTCGCGTTCGTGGCCAATGAGTGCCCTGACGGAACTTATTGTCACTGGAGAATGACAAGTTCTATGGTGTGCATAAAAAGCACGGTGGGAGCTAGGAGTCATTACACCGGTGCCGAAGGAATGTCACGACCACGTGATTTCATAATTCGCATTTGAGTTGAGGATTAAAGCTTAGGAGGAAGAAGTAGGAAGATCGTTTCATGACCCCTTTAAGCTGAAACAAAGTATAAAGCGCCTCGATGTGTTTGCGTTTGTCTTGCATCAAATGCGCCAGTGCACGAAGCCCGTGTCTCAAGCGGCCTTTAGAAGAAAATGTCGGCGCAGTACTGAAATGAGTGACCCTTGGAAGCGAATGGCGGCGGAGCACCCGCTCGTGTTGAGCGTCTTGCGCCTTTCCACTACAATGTTTGGCGGTAGTCGTTTAAAACGCCTTAATCAAGAGGCTTTAACCTTCCCTTCGTCTAACCTTAGCATAGACTATTGTTAGCCGCGTATGCTAAAAGCGCGAGCTATTTGCTTTGGATGAAGCCTCGGCGGCTGCACGAGCACTCCTGCAGCGAGTGCTCCAGTCAAGGCAGTCAAGACTACCGGCTCGCGCTTGCACAGCCTTCGCAGTTAGTCCATGGTAAGGTGAGACTAAGTTTTACACTAGACTTCGCGTTCATTTCGTTCATTGTTTATGTTGTGAATGAATTCGTTGTGCCTGGCGCTGTCCCTTTGAGGAACCAGTTGGACTACTTTGAGCGTCAACACGAGGGAAACATGTTTCCGGCAACCTTGTCACATTGAGATAATATCAATTGTTTGGAAACATGTTTTTTTTTTTTTTTTTGCTTGCAACTATGTCGGCCGATTTGTACTCCGACCCTCAAAGAACAAACACCCTGTCGCACCGAGAGACGGAGCTGATGGCGCGGCCAAGACCATTCCACCATCTTGTTTGTTCACCTTCTTTCCTGTCCGATGCGGCGTCGCTGGAAATGCGCCACTACAACACTTTTGAGCGTTCGAAGGATCAAAAATAACATGAGATGATATACACTTACAGGGGTAGCAAAAAGTGCCATGAAAGGTCTTTAATGGTACTTATATTATCGAAATGTTCTTCATTCGCGAACAAAGAACCTAGCCCCAGCCGAGGAGGACATCACTGCTAATTTCATGATTTACGCCAGGCTTTGAGGCCGTTCTACGTTTTATGAAATTCCCCTTTCTAATGTAAGAGACACTATCGTCCATTGTACCTTAAAGCGTTTTCTTTAGCCTCGAGCTTAGTTGTAATCATTCAACAAGTGCGACTGATGGCGAGGCCGTCGCAACGATCGGCATCATTATTATTTTTTAGTGCTGCCTATTTGTATTTTCTGCCTGCCAATCATGATCGCTTTGTTCGCCGACTTTAGCCAGTGCAGGACAACCACTAGCCTGAGGAAGTGACGATATTTTAAGATGGCGGCACCTTTGTAAAAAAGGTCTAGACGTGGCTTACAGTGACGTAATATCAGCCGCCATTGTCCGTACCATGCTTCTGTGCCCGTACCTTCTGCACCATACATTTGGCAGCATTATCTCTGTTCTTCTTGGCAAGGCGTTTGGTGAAGAACAGATTAGATAGTACGGAATGTATGATGGAGAAGGCACGGGCGCAGGATCATGGTATGGAGCAATGGCGGTTGGTACGGTGGTATGTATAACGTCATGTGCAAAGCATGTATATAAATACACGGTATTTATTGCACACTTTAGTGAATCGGCGGAACGTCCTATCTCAAGATTAATCATCTGTGGATTATTATGAAATCTACGAATTTTAACCATTTCTTTTTGTAAACACACCAAAGAGATAATAAAAATTAAGGACTATATTAAATCGACGTGGCCAGTGAGAAGTGATGCGTGATGTGTCATTTTATTTCAAATGTTTGGCACTGTGGGACTCTATCGCTTTACTCGCCTGTTGGATTCTTTTAGAGTCGTTTTGAAAACTGCCACCGGGCCCAATATAGATGGTCATTTATCATATCACGTTTACAAGCTAACCGCCGAATTCAGAAACCTCACTCAAACTACACTCAAACTGAAGGGCCCCTCCAGTTCCTCGAGGAAGGCGCGAGGGCCGGCGCTGGCCAATCGCGAGGACGGATCCGCAGTCGCGATTGGCCAGCAGCGGCCCTCGCGCCTTCCTCGAGGAAGTGGAGGGGCCCTTCAGTTTAAGGGTAGTTTGAGTGAGGTTTCTGAATTCGGCGGTTAATGTACTAATTGACCCCGTAAGTGGGACGTTACTCCTCCAAACAAATTTTTGCTAGGGAAGTTGCTATGGACGAATACATGGGACAGGATTTCGCATTATCATCGCCGTATGGTACTGAGACAATAGAAAAAGTATCCATGATTAGATATAGAGAAGACACAATGCTTACAAAAATTTTTTACGTTTTCATCAAACAATTTCTAGCCTCACGTTGAGCTACTATATGCATTTGTTCGTAACAACGACCCTAGCTACTGTTTGTTTGGAGCACAGCGCCATGTTGTGAAGTCAACACTTACGGGGTTCAATTCATATGACTGTCAATATAGCTTGATTAGCAATAACTAAATTCGGGCTGAAATTCTGTTCTCGTTTAAGTTAAAATTATGAAATCAGTTCATGTGCACACTCCGTGCTTTGACACACGGACTTTGACTTCTACGAGAACCTGAGTTAAGCGTGAATTCATTTATCGCTAGTCGATCCATATTTATCGTCATGTAAATACTTACATTCAGGTTCAGCTCTTCTTCTTATATACTGTACAAAAGACGAGCACCAAATGTTGCCTGAAGCTTTCTGCACATATGCCCAAATCTCCGTGGCTCGTTCTGTCAAATCTCGAAACAAGGTGGAAATAGAAGACAAATGTTTTGGAGATACTTATACGTATACGTCCAAGTGCATATGATGAAGAATAAACCATAGGTGAGACATATACCCCATTTATATCATTATAAAGGTACCTATTAGCGGCGAGATATTTTGGTGGCGCCCTCCTATGGTTTCCTCTCGTGACGTCATTACATTACGAACAACAGGTTTGACGGTGTTTATAATTAGCATGGTAGAAGCTTGAGATCATTGTGTTCTGAAACCAACAGTGCCAACACCGTCAAAATTAATATTCTTACATTACTCTTATTTCTGCCGATAAGAAAACCTTTGCTGACGTCATAGTCACCATTCGGCCAATCGTGGAAGGCCGACCACAGCGACACTTTTGATCGCGCACGTCGCCGATAGCGAATGGACCTTTATGGTTGTTTTTCTACTTATTTCGTGGTCGCGCATCGTATGTGCTCGCGACTCAAGATTACGGGTTGATTTGCTACCTAATCTCATGAGATTAGGTAGTTGACGGTTTGTCATGACATTCAGTATTTATACTTGATGTTAGCACGAATAAACTTTAGTTGTAAGTCAGCGCCTTGTTCGTCTACCTTCTTGTTCTTGTCCGTGTCCATGCGCTGTTTTAATTTTTAATCAGGAAATACCAACTAGCCCAAACTTCCACGTTAGTCTACCTAATCTCATGCGCCCCGAAAAGAGCGCCCGAAAGCGCGCTAAAACTAACATGTCAAAATTGATGTCCTCTTAATGACCATGGTACCTACCATCCTTGATGGTGTCCTGATAGGTTCCTAGTTTTCAAAAGGAAATAAATGTGTTCACACATTTTCTTTTTCCAACGTAATAAGGATAACAACATAAGCACTGCGGAACACTACGACGCCCTTTTCCTGAAATCGGACAAAGTCGTATCAAAAACGCAGATCCACCGGAAAAAGGATTACATTAGACACACCTTCTGCAAACATTTTACTGGTATTAACAATCAAGAAGGCTGTTGCTTATTTGTCTGCGCTATTTAGATAGTTCAAAAACTGACTGCACAGCTAATTAATTTCCAATAAACTAAATCACACAAATAATCAAATTGGGAACACCCGAAATATTTAAACAAGAATATCCTAAAGGTATGCAGGCAGTACAAAACCGAGTGGGTTTGTACAAACGCTCGCCATGCACGAGAGTGGAGAAAAATAGTTGCAACTTTATCGCGCCTGTCACATACACGACCATCTGACCTCTTTCTCTAAACTAACTGATAGAATACCATTTGTCGAATCGAGTCCGATATATTTGTTTTGTGTTTAAAAGAAGCAAAGCGTTAACCATTCTACACCACACCCATTCGGTTTAGACGGAATATGTGATTAAAATGATCGAATATGTGAGCCCGATACGTACAAAAATCACTTAATCTTTCTAGCGAAAATGTTCAACTCTACGTGTTCGAATTTATAATCAAAATCTTGTTCTCAGTAGAGAAAACAGAAACCTTACTCTAACCAACGTTGCATTGTTTATACGCGGACCTGCAGTCAACATGAAACGTCTTAACGCCCTTCGGATTTAAACTTGAATCGCTTCCAGACCGCACATTTCTTCGCGGGGTTCATGTAGGAGTTCGGTCGGCATTCAAACACTTTAGCGAACAGTTTCAGGTTCCTCAGGGGTACGTTGACTCTGAACCGTGGTGAGGTCTCCCCGAAGAATTTCAACTTGGCTAACTTGTCGCTGTCACCGCTCTCACAATGAGCAGCTGCGAAGTTGTAGAAGAACATCTTATCGACTGGTATCTGTTGACGGCCCAGGGTGATGAACTTTGTGGATGTGTTCAGTTTCGCCAGGTCGGTAACGTACATCCGAAACAAAGGGTAAAGGGCAGCATTGTCCAGAAAGTTGTCCTCCATCGCGGAAACGGAGCTCTGTCTCGTTTCCGGCGTCTCGTACTGGCTCTGGAGGCAGGCGCTGATGTTGATGTAGGCATTCGTCGTGGCACCACTCCACCAGGCGTTGGAGGCGGACTGGTCATCGATGAAGGATCCCGCCCTAGTGAGGCCTCTCAGTGCGCCCCGCATCACGTGAATGGCGACGACGGGGTACAGAAACGGATGAATCTTGTTGGTGATGTGGTTCATGAACGACACAACTGCATGAGGAACGAAGAGCAGGTTACTAAGTTCCTGGTACTCGTGGCTTGGTTGGAAAACTGTGGAGGTGTAGAGGTTGTCGTACGCCTCCGAATCGTTGGCTAGAGACTCCCAGTACGCGGCGGACGCGAACGTGAATATTCTAAAAATGGTGGCCGGCAGGGCTTCAGTCTCGTCTATAAAAAGGGTCGATGTTTTTCGGTAGAGTTCGTACTCTAGAAGGTTGTATTGGGCTCCGAAGACGAAGTCCATGGTGTTAAGCTTTTGCAACGCGATGCCGCTGTCGAGGGGGTCGATCCAAGAGCGCAGAGAAACCACCATGTGGACTAACAACGTTTTGGTGACCCGGAATATAGTTCCCAGTTGCGAATTGAAGTGTGTCCGGTAAGTCGTCGCAAAGTCTTTTCCCAGCGTAAGTCTGGCGGCAATACCAATGCCGTGGTGGTATAGTTTTTCGAGTAGCACCATGCACGCGACTTGGAGCTCGCTGAGGTCGGTTATGTGGTAGTCGTGAGTTAGGGGCTGAAGGTAGTCTGCATCTTGGCCCAGAGCAGAGGACAGCTCTACAACTGCCTTGTACCCAATATAATTAGCGATGACGGTAGTCCACGTGTCGCTCAAAACGCCACCGATATTTCGGAGGAAAATTATGTCACTCAGGGCGACTTCAGTTTCATTGGTTACGATCGTATTGTTGCCCTTGGTAAGTACACGAAAGTAGGTTTCCCAGTCCCAACTGCTGGTCAAGAACAAGTCGCCTAAGCGTACAAGTTTGCTTCTTGGTGGAATCAGGAGTTCCTCACTAAAGGCGAGCGAAAAGCCCTCTAGCAATTTTTCCAATTCCACGATTCCCTTCGCTGCCCCGGTTTTTTTCGTCGAGGTCCACAGATGCAGTGTCTTGTCCACGAGGCCCAGATAGGACTCTTCGTTTGTACTTGAAGATTTCCTCATGAAGCGTCTATAGTAAGTGATTGGCGGTGAGATCGACATGGATAACGCACTCCGTCTACCATTGATCTTCTGGATGGTTACTCTGAATAGCGGATACAGCCTCATCAGACGGTCCCCGGTACCAATTAATGAAGTCAGGTCGCCAGTGTATCTGTCCAAGGGCCAACCCGTGATACCCAGGTTTTCAAATATTCGCTCTATGGTTGCGGTTACATTAACCGTTGTACTTAGACCGGCCTTGCACTTGCCATAGATCCAGATGGCCTGCGAAAGAAAGTTGTCCCCAGGGCGCTCGTTATTGCCCTTCAAGTGGAGGAAGCTCTTGAAGAAACTCTCCACATCCAACATGAGCTGAGCAGCGCTGAATTCTCGGAAAGGGCGCGACGAGACGTTGCCCTTGCGGAACCAGGCATTGCTGCAGACGTGCACGTAGAAATCGTCGCAGGGTCTATTATTTTGCTCCACCTTGAAACAAAGCGAAACAACACAGAGAAATAAGCGACATGCTGAAGGACCAAGTACATATTTTAAATAAACGTTTATCTCTCATTTCATTATCCACTCAGAGGAAGTTTAACGTGAGATTTCACCCAAGCGTTTTGTTTTTCAAGCATCAAAATCAAAATACCACGTTACTATTCTGGCTTTCTCTGACAAAGATCTAAAAAAAGAATCCAAGCACAGTTTCATTAAAAAGCTTGATAAAAAGCGTACGATAAAATTAAGCTTAAATGAAAACGTACCACTGATTATAAATCAACTTCCACATATAATGCAATAAAAGCCGGGAGATAATATACATTTTAAATTGTGGTTTTCTCGAAAATAGTTTGTGTGTGTTTAAGGTACTGGTTTTTTTATCTTAATCAGATGCAGTTTTCTGGAGAATAAGCTTTTTTATGTCTGAAAATGTAGTGTGACTTGTTTTTTCATAATTTCTGAAGGTTATTATTTTAACGACCTGGGAAAAAAAGAAACGGGAGCACACAAACAAATGACGGAAACCCAACGGCCGTTGAGACCCCTGAATGACTGTCTTTTTTCGTATTCCTGATAAGTTTCATTTTAAGATAATAAAAAAGGATACGATCAAAGATGTGAGGGGACTACAACATACATCGCACGTAACTCACGAGAAGTAAATTATTACGCCAGAAATTAATAACAGGCAACACCCACTGAATGACTTATACCATAGCGTCCTCCATCAAGAAGGCTATGCTTATACATGGCATGAACGTGGCGTCATCAGACCCTGATGCTGGCCGCTCCAACTTATTTTTGCCGAGAAAAACAAATTCGGTGGTGTGAAGTGTGTGCTGCAGAAGGTATGTGCTCAGAAAGAAGGCCACCCCAATGGCCACTGCAGTGACGTCAGTATAAGCCAGGATCAACGTTACTAGATTACCTCAGTTGTGGAACTCCCGCGGAAGGGGGTACCCCCCTCACTGACTTCAATCCGCCTGCCGTCGTTCGAAGCGCCATCTAGATTTTCGTTTCATGACTGTGCGTTCCATAGAGCAGAGCTGAAACGCCATCTCGACGCCTTGCTCCGAAACGTATGTATCCCATAGAATGCACTGCATTTACCAAAGCAGCCGTCCGGCGCGTTGAGCGACGGCAGCAGGCGAGTCGCGGTGAGTGAGGGAAGGGGGGGGGGGGGGGGGGGGTACTGCTCGTGCACGCAGCGCCTATGAGCAGTTCCGTAACTGAGCTAATCGAATAGCGTTGGCCAGGAGGTATTCAAGCACCCAACAGCAACGAGCTGAGTTATGGTGGCCAGTGGATAGCACTTTATGGGTATCGTATTTACTCGAGTAATAGCCGCACTATTTAAGAACAAGGCCCTTCCGTCTACTTTCCCGCAGAGCACATATACAGCTAATCATCGCGGTGCGCATAAATAACATAGCAAATAACTAGATCGAGAACACGAGTGTCCACACAAATGCAATCTTCACAGATGGTATCTTCGCACGAAGACGTTATCTCTGTCCTGTAAAATGCTGGAATCATGCTGTCAATCACGGTGATTAGCAATCCGCGTGCTCCGCGGAAAAGCGAACCCTCAGGTTTTCTACATAAACAGTGCGGCTATTACTCGAGTAAATACGGTACCCAAAATCGAAAACAGTGCGCACTTCAGACCTTGGAGAAGATGTAACCGGCGTTCCAGTCGCACAGGGACGAGCGGCACTCGTTCGCGTCCTGCCGAGGCACTCCTCTGCCCAGGAGGGTCTGGATGCCGGCACGATTGCCCCGCAGGTCAGGTCGCGAGGGCCTCTGGTCTGCCTGGGAGACGTACTTCTTGCAGATTACGGCCACCAACAGTGCGATAAGGATGACGGCGACTACCAGGCATATCACCAGGTTGAAGGCGGGCGCCTGCACGTCCTCTAGCAGGCTCCCCCGTCGGCGAAACTGGTGGCGCTGGGCCATGATGCCGCTCTGCACCGGCGATAATCCAGATATACCAAGTGCCTGGAGTCCACTGTATACGGCCTCTCAGAAGAAGTGAGGAGTGCGCATGCACGGCTTTGGTCGGTGTTTGTTCTTTGGTTGTTGTTCACGAACAAACGTTCGGAAACAAAATACACACACAAAAAAAAAGAAGAAATGCTCGGGTTGTGCCCGCGCTGAAGGCCAAGGATCACATTCCTCCTTGGCCAGTCCTCTTCTTCAATATTCGCCAACAAACAACCACTCAAGGACAACAACAAACAACAATGACAAGAAGATGCGCGAAAACATAAATTGTGTTGTGAGTATGTTTATACAGTTTGTCTGCCTAAACGGGCGACTTGTCTCTCAGCTATAATTGAGTAATTCAGCCAATAAAATGCAACCGCTAGTCCGGGGGTATCTAACGTGCACCACGCAGTAGTGATACACGACCGCATGCCGGTACGATGCTCATCCAGGTCGAAACGGGCAGAGGTGTGGATAGACTTATTCCAAAACTTGAAGCGCCTCATCGCGGCGTAATCCCACGTTCCCACGCATCGTGGGAATCAGTGGTAGATTTTACTAAAACTAGAACCCTTCTAGTATATCCTATCAGTGGAAAGCAAAATCCATACGCGCTCCACTCCTGGTTCAGAGGTTCCCAGAGCCGTTTATACTGAGAGAGTTTGGCCTTCTTAAGGAGATTTTGACAGTCTGACAACCACAGCAGCGTAGTCTGACAACCGGGGGATGACTACTTCCGTCCGCCATATTGTGGTTCTGACTCATAGGAACTCTACGCGATTTCTCAGGAATGAACAAGACAAAGAAGTAACGCCATATTGTGTTATCGCGAAATACGCTTGTTCTAGCGGCCAACAAGCTCCGCCCATCGGCCAAACTCTCTCAGTATAAACGGCTCTGGAGGTTCCCAGAATGCAACGCTCGCGTGGACGGATTTATGGTTTTCAGTTAGCTGTGCATGGGCGCCGCCATAACGGACCTTCTGTTTTTTTTTTCTATCTTATTTCGTTCGCTCCACTTCATTATTACCACAAGTTAGAGCTAATGTAGACTCCAAGGTTCAGCACGCAGCTCCATTGGCGACGTGCGCGATCGAAAGCGTCGCTGTGGTCGCCCTTCCACGAATGGCCGAATGCTGACTATGACGCCAGCAAAGGATTTTGTTGTTGTTTAGCTTTACTTTACTTATTTTGTAGAAAACAACGATGGGTTGCGCGACCATGCAGGCCCGTAGGTCACCGTTGAGGGGGAGGGGGAGAAAAGGATAAAAGAAGAGACGAAAGGAAGAAAATAAAAGTGAGAGTGTGACAGTCACAGTGCCGTCATCGTTGTCGTGTATGGATCAGGCGTATCATGGGCTGCAGTGCAATTGTTCGGCTAGGCGGAAGAAAAGCCGGACTGTCCCTGCGTATGGCGACTAGCACTCGGTAGTGAGGTTCTATGTCCATCTTCCTAGGCGGTTAGACCTTCCTGGAACGTCAGTACAGCAAAGAATTCCTTATCGACAGAAATAGGAGTAATGTACAAACTTTAATTTTGACAGTGTTGACAGTGTGGCTTTAAGAGCGCAATGATTTCAAGCTTCCACCATGCTCGTTACAAACACCATCGAACTTGTTGTTCGCAAGGCAATGACGTCACGAATGGTAACCATACGAGGGAGCCACCAAAACAACTCGCCGTTAAATATGTCCGAGTCACACTAGAGCAGAACTGATCTCTGGTTCCCCAACCGGTACCCAGGCACCTGTCCGGGATGTGGCAGCGATCACCCTAACCTGTACCACTCCATCTGGGAATGCCGTCACCCCCTCGGTGAGGGTATCACCCCCATTCCTTCCCCCACCTTTTCCTCCTGGGAGGCGGCCCTTTCCGGCACAGAGCTCGATGACCAGCAGCGACTGGTTGAGCGAGCCCGCCGAATCTGGGCGGCCAACGGAGCCCTGGACTAAGGGCACCGACCAGAGACCGCAAGGTCCTTTCACTTTATCAATTAATAAAGTTTACGATGATGATGATGACACCGATAAGCCTCGAGCGCCCGCATCATGCACTCGAAGGTAGCTTTGACAGGCTTGCAATCGCTCGTGCTTATTTCACGAGTATGCCGATAGACTACAAGCATGCCCAAAGGCACCTTCGCATGCATATTACATGTGCTTGAGGCTTTTCGGTGTCGGTTGTTTCTGGTTGTCACTTCAGTAGAGCTAAGGGCATTGCAGTGCAGCTTTATTTCAAGCCCCTTCATGTTTCAAAAGTAGCGCAAGGAACGTCGATGCAACAGACACTTGCAAACGTGCAGCTTTTGGGAAGATGATGGCGGCACAGTGCAGCACCGAGCTAGATCAATGTTACTTGAGCAAGCTCAGTTTCACAGCTCCGCCTGCGACGTGGGCTCAGTGGCGGTTACAAGAACTAGAAGTGCTGCAGTCGAGCCTTGCTTCCGGGTTGTCTAGCCCGCCAAGTTTGAATAGCAATACTTGAGCTTGGGCGAGTTGTTGATTCATACTAACACTTCACAGCGAAAGGAAACAGACGCACACAAAAATAAATTTCAAACACTCTAAGAAAGAACACTGACAATGCGCTGACTCTGATCTCTGCGGTGTATCACACTTTATCTTCATCAGCTTTTTTTTTTCTATTATACACATGAAAGTAAAAAAAAAGGAAGAAAAGAAAACGAAAAGGAAGCTTTCAACGTGGTGGTAGTAGACGACGCGCGAGACAGGGGAGCAAGATCCGACTGCAGCGCCGCTAGTTCTCGTGACCGCCACCTGGGCAACTAGCCTCTGCAGGCGAGGATAGGAAGCAAGGTGGTTAGAAGTACTAGGAGGGGGCACGTTGCAATATTGGTGAAGCCTAGTCATAAAAAGTTT